CTCCAACTGATCCTAGCTTGAAGTTGGCTTGAAATAGTTAATGGAAAAGTAATATAGAAAAATAAGGAGTATAATGCTACATTGGGTAACTAGTAATAGTAGCACAAATGTAATTAGAAACTGTATATCAATTGCTCTATAAAAAGGTGTGAATCATGACTAATAAAGTTTTTACATTTGGCAATATAAAAAAAAAAAAAAATTATTAATATTACTAAATTAACTTATAAACTATTTATATATTTAATTAATTAGAAAAAGCTTACTACAGCAATAAATGCAAAATGGGCACGATCATTAAATATTAGTGATGAAAGAAAATTTAAAGATCCAATATAATATTTTGTAGCAACTGCTCCCTGGTGTTTATATGATGCTTCCAATAAACCTACAAAACATATACATATACAGAATTCAGTATTTACTATATAAAATAAGTCAGTGCCTTTTTCCTGACTAGAGACTAAAAATTCTGTGATTAGTTCAGTTTGCTGAATCTCTGCAGCATTAATTGCATCCCAACTAGAACACAAAAATCTTTTAGCAATTTGAAGATGACTGGGATAGCTATGTTCTATTCCAAACAACTAACATTTATAGTATTGTTCTATATTTGTAATGATAAATTGAAACACCTGAATAATGTTGTATGCTTTTGTGCATGCAAATATAATATCTTTCAGTAATCCGAAGCTACATTCGACATAGTTGTTGGTATGATTACTACATGTGAAAAGCCCAGAACAGAAAAGTAGTGCCCAAAATTTGTCTATTTCAAAGTAGCTCAAAATGTTTTTGTAATTGTAGATACTTAAGATAGTAATTGTCACGGATTATCGTGAAATCAGATCATTATAAAATTTGGATTTATTTTATATATGATTTTTAAATTTTTTTGGAGCCTTTTTTGTAAGCTTTTTTTTTATAGTTAAGTTAGGGTTTAGAGTTAGAATTATTAATAAAAAGTATAGGGGATTTTGGTAGGGCTTATATTTTCAAATTAAGACCCAAATTTCATGATGATCTGATTTCACGATAATCTGTAACAGTAATTAGCTTTTAACTTATTATAATATTTTACTATTTTGATTTCTGTATATGTATATAAGATACTTTTCATAGTTTTCATAATAAGCATTTTATAATTTTTATCTATATAGTGCTTTAAGTTATGTACCCAATGCCAAACTGCTTGAAGAACATGGAATATATATAATAGTTGTCTTGCTTGTAGCCAACAATATTCTAATGTATTGCATTCACTAGCTGAATCATCTATTAAAAAAATTGTTGGTCCAATATTAGGCTTATGGCCAAAAAAGGTGTATTGTGAAAGAAGTGATTTTAAAAGATCCATTCTTTTTTTAAGAGTTAACTCTAATTTATCTGATGTTACTAGTAGACCAAGTAGTAACACTCCTGCAATACAGCTTGTATAGAATAAGGTAATTGATATATTCAACGGTTCAAAAGATACTGATGCATCTACATAACAAATTTCACCTAATTGCTAAATTTTGTTATTTTAACACAATCTATTAAATTCATAACTATGCAAAGGATGAAGGCTTTTCTTTTCCGAGAATTATACTTTTAAAATATTGCATGCCTCTTTCCTGAACTATTATAATTATTAACTTCATCTGTTAATCGTTGAAACATAGTAATACTATTTTTTCCTCCAAGATGTTTATTACAATACTGCTTGAATAAATTTAAAACATAACCATAATCAGGGTTTTGTGCATGGTCAGCTAATAATAACATAAGATTTTGATCATTTTCTGCATTCAAATAAAGACTATCTTCATAAGCATATAAGGCTGTTGCTAGTAAGTGTTCATTAGCAAATAGATCAATATATTTTTATTGACATCTTCTTTGATATATCTAAAACTAAGAGACTTTGCTAAATGAATAACATGATTATATATAAACTTGAGATTAATTTTAAGTGGATAAGGTGTTTGGAGATGCCATCATTCAAGTCGGAGATGAATAGTAGCTATGCAATTAGTATTTCTAATTCACATTAAATTAAGCTTTTTTAATATAGGATTTTCTTGCTTTTGTCTTACTATATTACTATAAATACAATATCTTATTTCACGGAAAATAACTTTTTTTTTCTAAAGTTGATAGCCTTTGGTTTGTGACATTGTCGTTTTTGTAATTTTCTTAAACTTAGTAAACTATTTATATATGCCTTTGCTAGTATCAATATTTACAAAGAAGTTAACTTCAAAATTGTTAACAGAAAACTTTTCTATTATAATATAAGCAGAAAGTTGATGAACTTCAGAAATAAAATAATTGTAGCTTAATAGAAGTATAGCTATAATATGTTTGAGCAACATGATATTCGTTTTACATGATATGTTTGTGTTAAGTGATGGTTCTAAAATTTTACTTAAATTCATTTATTTTAATTGATGATCCACCAGTAACCTGAAGAATAATTATAGTAAAATGTGACTCAAATTACTATATAAATTTACTATAATGTGAATATGGTAATCACCCAAGGTAAACTTTTTTTATACTAAGTTAATCACTCTTCTTGCTTAAGAGACTTTTGTAAAGCTTGTCAAAATGCATCTAATGGTAGTTAGAATGTCAAAATCAGCCTGGTGAGTGCTGAGATATCTTTAAAAAACCTCTCTTTTACTATTAAATTTCTTTAAATTTCTTTGCAAACAATACTATTGTTTGCAAAGAAATTTACATAGTAAAAGAGAGGTTTTTTAAAGATATCTCAGTACCCACCAGGCCGATTTTGACGTACTACCATTAGATGCGTTTTGACAAGCTTTACAAAAGTCTCTTAAGCAAGAAAGGTGATTAATTTAGTATGAAAAAAAGTTTACCTTGGGCGATCGCCAGATTCGCACTATAGTAAATTTATATAGTAATTTTACTATGATCATTTTTCAGCTAACTGGTGGATCATCAATTAATAAATTAACGGTCAAAAGCTTTTGATATTATAATTTAAAAATAGATTTACTGGTACAGATGTTAGTACGATAGTGATCTACAGATCTGATAATCCTGTTTAAACAGGTTTTTTAATATTGAATAAACTATTTTTAGATTGTTTTGATTTTGTGTAACAAAATAGTTTTTGCCGATTTTCTCAAAACCCGTGATCGGCCAAATTCCCTGGTTTCTATTTTTAAGGGCCTATATAGCTATGAAAATCGAATTAGTCAAAGACTTAGCAATAGCCTTTCAAGAAAGATTAAAAGAAATATATACTGATAAACGAGACATTATGCTTAAAGCAGATATAAATATAGCAAAGTATCTTGGATTCAAAGACCCAGAATTTATTGTAGCAATTAGAAATACAATAGACCAATATAGTTAATTACAATCCCAAAAAAACAAAGGTAAAATACTCTCAGTAAAAAAAACTAATATTTCTAGAAGAGATAACAGAAATAACAACACGTACAAAAATAGAAAGGGTAGTACAAGCACATAGTGATCAAAACAACTTCTCAGAAATGATTATTGATACAGAAGAGAATAAAACCTCACCAAAGCTAGAAAATCTAAAAAGAAAAAGAGTGGTAGGTGATGATATAGAAAAGCCAAAGGTTTAAAATAAAGAAGAGGAATCTATTAGAATTAAACTAGCAGAAATGAATCTGAACAAAAGCGAAGTAGAAATCTTAAAAGAAGATAATACAGCAAACACAGAGGAAAAAGCAACTCTACTATATACAGAGCATGGACACGTAGATCATGGTACAAGAGAAGTTAAAAAAATAGATAACTTTAAGCAAAAAAAAAGAGCTTTTAAGCAAAAATAATGAGATAGATGAACAAAAAAAAGAAGATATTCATAGCTCCATCTGGGCTTCAGAATACAAAGCAGTATATAATGATATAGTAGTAAAGAGAACAGAGAACAGATATAATAGAAAGAAAAAAGAGCTTGAATTATATTTAACTATTTGAAACCTTCTGAAATATCATTATATAACAGAAGTACTTGAATGGCATATAACAAGAAAGTCAAAAGCTGCATATGTAAGGATTGTATATAAAAATGAAAAGAAATGGTTACTGCAAAAGATATGGGCACTTCTCTTTGAAGAAGGGAAAACAAGTAGACTTTCAGTAGGAAAATTTGACGAAGAAGAACTGGAAAATAGAAAAGAATTTAGAATAGTCTTAAGACAAATTTTTTACTCAGCATGCGAAGCAGCCTTACTTTGGTAGCTAAAAATTTTTAGAGCAAAAATGGTGCATATTTCTAGAAATAGTCATATACTTTGCATCATTAAGAGACTTACAAATAGCTAAAGCCTCAACACCATACTATTACAATAGTATGATGGAATGGGATAAAGAAAAAGGTTATGAGGCATTTAGAAGTACATATAATAAAGAAAATCAGAATAATCTTAGATTTAGAGAGAAAAGCACTAATAGCTACAATATTTACCCAAAGCAACAAAGGAGATATAACAAACAAGGGCCCAGAGTAAAAAGATCAAGAAATAATTCTAATAGTGCTAGTAATGTTAGTTCTAATGATAGATTTAGTATTAGCTCCAGATCATGTAGTAATACTAGAAAACCACTTAACAGAATAGAGAATTTTAAATTGAACAAACAGAATCAGTCAGAGAAAGCAGTAGCAACAGGTTCAAATAATATAGAATTAGGTAAGAGAAAGGGTAAACAAGCTAAAATAAAAGAAGAGGATTTTGAAGTAGAAAAAATCCTGGCAGAGATGCAAGAAAAATTCAAAACAATTAAGCTTCTGTTAGTGAAGCACTCCTAATATTTGCCACAGGTGAATTAAAGAATTTGGGAAAAGCAAATTGCCTTACTAATGCCTTATATACACCCAATATAATAGAAACAAGTGAGGAGGAAATGAAAAACAATTGCTTTGAGAGAGGTGTGGCGGCTTAGTGAAGTGGTCAAGTCGTCACCCTCTCCAAGTAGCAGGTCTAGGGTTCAAATCCCACGGA